AGGGCAAGTTGGCATCGGTGATTCGTTTTTGCAGTCCTGACCGCTCATTGTATTTCTGCTCCTGTCTGGATTAACAGCCAATCCAAAGCAGACAGTGAAAGATGTAGCTATGTTCCTAGGTCTGTTTCCCCGCATTAATTTAGGTTGGCATCAGCATGTTATGTTGGAACTAAGCACCTAGATTTTTTTTTTTTTAAATGTCTTATTTCTTTTTTGAATTAACATAATAGAACCATCTCCTCAACCAAATTAAGTGTAACAGATTAACAGCCATTTACAGTATATATGTTACGTTTATGGACATCTTTGGCAGCAAATGGAAAGGATGACTGTCTGCTGAGACCAGCCTGAGCTGTCCTTGTTTATAGCTGCTCTGCATCTTTTGCTGGAAGGTACAGTTCAATATACATTTATTTAAGTGATAAACAAGAAGGAACTAGCATCATCCATTTGTGGCTCGTCAATCGCAGGGTGCAGAGAAGTGTGTGGTGAGTGGATTATCAACTGCAGCAGTGGATGAGCAGCTCCTGAGGCAAGAGTAACTTGTTGAAAAGGCTCTAGAAGTATGTCAGTCTGCTTGTCGGGGTGTTTCACCTGACCTCCCCTGCTGCTTCCTGTCTCTCAAAAAGTTTTTGATTTATGTATGACATGTGAGCTGGCTGTGTTTAGAGTGAGGAATGACTTGGATAGTTTGAAGTGTTGAGCTCCAGCACACAAGATCCAGGTGTTAGTCTTAGGGGAGTCGAGGCGTTGCAAGATGTAGTGCAGCCCCATGTTAAACTTAGCATCCACTGACCTGTTTCTCCAGAACCTGTGAGGTTAACCTGGGGAGTCGACACCAGTTGTGTGTAGGGTTTCATGACTAAATATTTCAGGGCAGTGGGTTTCTAGTAATATCAATCTGCCATGGAGGGTCTCTTGGGGACTGAGATGATTGTAACGAATTTTCAAACATGAAGGCACTCACACCTCCAGTAACCTATAGACAGTCTTTGTGAATAGAGGGGCCAGCTGGTCAACTACTCTGGTCTGAGTGTACAGGATTATGCTCAAACTAATGCAGACTGTCCTTGGACTGATAAGGCAAACCAGATTGTTTGATTGTATTCATAGTAGGTTTAAATTGGCACACACACCTCCAGGTTCACCAATAACTGATAAATATCCCCAGGTTAAGAAAGATGAATATTGGGGACAGAGTAATAGGTCTCTTTTTCTTAAGGTGGTCCTGTAGTTGTTCCATTAGATTACATTTACTCTGTATTTTATGTATTTTGGTTCCTTGGACAAAGGTTTGCTGTGTTCATATCCTTAAGAACTGAGGGCAGACACCAAATAAGAGTAAAGGCGAGTATTCTGCAGCTGAATGCAAAGAGTACGATTTGTTAGGACTGTGACTGACAATAAATGATTACCAGTATTCCCTAGGTATATTTGCTTGGTTTAATTCAGAATCTATGTGTTTACCTAAATGAACTGAAACCATGAAACGTATCGCAGCATTGTTGGAATGAAAAGAGAACTGAAGCAGGACCTGGGGGAATATGGGTAATGACTTAATGTCAATCACAGGCCCAACTAATATGGTATACCCTTTGCATTCAGCTACAAAATTAGACACAACAAGAGCACTTGTCTCAAATAAGAAGTTGTGCCATGCACTGCATCGCAAAAGTAGCTTGAATCAACTCAGAAAAGTGCCAAAGTGGATAGTGAAACCTGGTATTAAACAGGCCCCGGGGCTAAAATGTTAGAGACTGTTGTATTCATAAGCCCTGACATTACTGGCTCTTTTATCAGTACTTTTCAACGGTTTGGTGTAATTTATTATCACACTGCAGCCTCTTGTCTGCTCTCTGTGTCTGCACAAAGCCCCAAAAAGAGTACACACACACACACACACACACACACACACACACACACACACACACACACACACACACACACACACACACACACACACACACACACACACACACACACACACACACACACACACACACACACACACACACACACACACACACACACACACACCTGAAGAACTCAGCGATAGCAGAGCATAGAGGCCTTGGCGGAAAAAGGGAAGTGAAGTAGGTGGAGATAACTCAAAGACAAAAAGCAAAGTTTGGGGCAGGATCATTACATGATCTCTGCGACTTGCTGGCTTGGAGGACTTTATATCATTTGTAAGCTTGTATAAAAAAACAACATAAAAAGCTTTACACAAAGCAATTTTTTATTGTGTGAGGCTACAGTAGTCTTATCAGTGCTTCTGAAACTTTGCTATAAAAAGGGGAGCCCAGACGGCCTGGGCAGGTGTGTAATGGGTGGCTTGGGACCCAATTATATTTGTGATTGGCCATCCAAGGTGCCAAGCCAAAATCTTAAACTATGAATGGCTATTTGCCTTGTTAGAGGTGTGATTTTGATTAAAATCAACTATTTGGGCTATGTTCCAACTGGCTGCAAGTACTGTGTATTTAAATCAATTTGGTACTTTTTCTTTTTGTTTGAACTTTGAAGAAACATCTTATCCTTGAGTCTGACAGTGAGGGAAAAACTTTGAGAACCCTTCTTTGTGACCCAATTAATCATCTACCCATGTAAGGTTGATGCATTTATCATAAGTGCAGATAAAACATGTATCAACACATCCATATTTACAGGAATCTAAAATAACATAAATAGAAACAAATGCATGACATTCTTCAGAATCAGAATCAGAATTCTTAATGTCTGTGTCTGCTTTTAAACTGTATCTGAACCTGAAGCCTGCAGCTTGTTTTAGGACTATCGTTTAGCACACTGCAATATAATGATGACAATGTTTGATTCTTGCTATCATGTTGATATGGTAGGCATCTGGAATTATAGCCATTTATATTTTAGATGCATTCACTTTAACTCAGCTCAACTTTTAACCTCAACTTAATTTGCAAAACATCAAGAAGTAATGCAGAAATTATTCTTATCTGAAGACACGGTATTTTAAAAAACAAAATTGGGGAACTGAATAATGTAGAATTTGTTATGAATAAAGAACAAAAGTAAAGTCAACCTCCTGGGCATGTTTTCTTATTATATTTCTTCCACACAATCAAACATGAGTGACCCCTGAAAAACAAAAATGTTTTTTTTCCGCTGAAGCACAAAATAGTTTTGGATACAAGTTCCACTCCACAACTTTACAAGTTTTAAATGCTCCACTTCAAACAGTATTTATACGGACTATGTGTCCCTGTCACAGCAGATAAGAGTAAAAGTGATATAAAGAAAAAAGAGTTCTGACCATAAAAGAGCATCAGCAAGAGTGGCAGCACTATGGGCCATGAAACAAAATAGCAACGTTTCGCTAAACAACAGGCATGTGGTTAATAATTCAGCAAGCATAAAAGTCTGTTTGAGGGGAAGGTTTTCTAATATTCATGTGACATGATAGCCAAGACAGGAACTCTGGCTCTCACTAGGCACAGTGTTATTCATACTGTGAGGCACTACGGCGTTTTGTAATTCATAGCTTCGGTTTTTTAGGCCAAGCTTGGACCTATCTAGACCAAGACTGAGTTTCAGCGGCATAATAAATTATTCAAAAAGATTTGTTCATGAATGCTTCAATGATTTTAGTCTAATATTCAAAGGAAATCCATTAAACAGTTGTGAGGTTTTGAAACCTCAAACAAACAAGTCAAACAAAGAGCCAGAAGAAGCATTAAGTAATGAGATTTACATGTATATATATTCATTCTTTCAAACATAAATAAGATCTTCAGTCACTTCCTACTGGTCATGCACTGGTAAGGTATCATGGAGGGGTGGGGGGAGGGGGTAAAGGAAGCCATTCTGAAGAGATTTGACCATTTCTCTTTAAGTAAATAAAACCAAAACAAAAAACTACAAAAAACAAACAAATCTCATTATAAAATATCATTTATTTGACTGACCATACATTGCATTTGACCCGCGTTCTGTGATGGTACCTGGCTAAGAACTCAGATACTGAATAAAGAACTCATCTTTGTGTCATTTCACACTGTAGATAGATGTAATGCCTGCTGACTGGAACCTCACACTGAATGTATTACTTACTATTTCCAGAACTATATCTTCACATCTTCTCTTGTCTTCCTCACATCTCATAGCATACTACTTATTTTAATGTTTTCTCTTAGCACCCAAGGCACTTGGTAGGGGGTATTTCCTTTTGATTTTCCACACCAAGTATTGATTTTGTGTATTTCCAGATAAGCTGTTTATTTTATCAAACATTGGTATACTTAGCTATAGCATAACCCAGCACACTGATACTTTCTAATTTAACTTTGCAAGTATGCAGCTTCATTCTCTTACAAGCTAAAATGACACAGTCGATGCCCTTCTATAAGGATTACATTCCAAAAGATTACACCTGAAGACTTAATCCCTTCAGACTCTATGAGGTGTTAGTGAATCACTGGTATGATATTACATTTCTGGACAGCTTAGCATGCTATAACATGGCCAAGAGCAGAGCTGAGTGCAATACATCTGTTATTGTAGATAGTGTTGGTCATGATTAGCAACATATGGTGTAGTTATGATTACTTATGAACAGTTATGATTAAAACTTGGAAAATAAAGGTAACTTCACTTCTAAACTCCATATGTACAGTGGTCCTCTTATGGCGCATACACATTGCCAGTTCAAGGTGGGATATTTACGCCCCTGATACGACTCACGTGCAATGTGTAATGGACGGAGGTGGAATGGTGGGGCGAAGTTGTTCTGGCCCTAATCCACCATCGAAGTCAGTTACAGATGTGTAATGGGAGGGAGATGGTAATATACGTTGTTACAGAAGCAATGCGTAATTGCAAAGGTGTAATCACTGAAAGGGTGGAACTTCATTAGGGCGCTGTTGCGGGATTGCAATATATGAAGGACTTTCGATTCCTGTTGCATGTATCCAGGTAAAAATACTTTAAGTTTCTAAAATAGAATTAGTAAAAAAGGTACTTACAATCAACTGCGTCCTTCAGCAGGGGATGGAGGAGGTTTCTTGGTGATCCATGGTGTAGATTCAACCTAGGAGACAAATTGACACCATCCTGAATCGATGACAGAATAAATAAATGAACAGCGCTGCTGTTGGTGCACTGCTCATAAAAACTGGGCCTGTTTTCTGAAACTAGTGTCATTTAACCAAAATAGCCCTGAACATCCTCGCTTAATCCTGACTGCTACAGAGGAGCAAATCCAAAACAGCTTACACAAAGTAGTAGTTCTGCAAGCATGCAAAAAAAGTTACATTAGTACAGCTGTGCTACATTGCACTGCAAGGGTTTAACATGTGTACATTTGCCAAACAAGCTGGAAGTCCCTGGGTGATACGTTAGCAGCGACTCTTTCACCACAGCAATACATGTCCTTCAACAAGAAAACCTCATTAATGCAAGGCTGGTGTAATTAAGAATGCTAATCACCTTCTGTCGCCATCAGCAGGCTGAGCCTCTGGCCTGTTGATAAAAAGCTCCAGGACAGTGAAGCCGCACCCCAAGGCCTGCTGGGAGCCGTCTGGCCTGGGCAACAGGGACACCAGCTCCAAGACCACAACTGTGCTGGACAATCGCAGAGAGGTATGGAAGTAGAGGACCTAAAGAGCAATAAAACACATGAGGAAAGACATTATCAATACGGCTCATAATGTGGCTTGGATTTTATCTTTGGCCAATAACTCTGCAGACTAGCATTACATTCAAATGAGACCAAAGTTCACTGAATTTAGAATAACAATAGATTTGGAACAATAAACATGAGTCATTGCAACTTCTAGGGTCGGTAAATCCCAAAATACATCTTTAAAAAATATAATTCAAAAAGTGTTAATTACATTGACGACATTGTGTTCAAACAAGTGTGTTCTGTTAAAACCCAAAGTGAAAAAACACAAACCATCAATGACATTTTTGGAGGAGCCATTGTCGGCTCAAATGTAAGGCAGAAAAAATAATTAACTGATTCCAAACAAAATATAGAACTTGAGAAAAGTATCATGACATATGAAACAAAAGAGTCAAATCAATTAATAAATGGATGGTTTTATTTATGGCATTCACCCACTGTCTGAGCTACACAATTCTTCAAACTTCCATATGTCAGCTTCATCAAAGTGCAGTATACTGACCATTCAAAAGCTTTTATAGACGTGCCTAAGCTATAACAATGACCATTTAGTTCCATACGAACATCCCTCAGGTTAGACCATGGATTAATACACTGTTATTTGGGTCATATATGAACAAAACCTTGTTGCATAATAGTTTGGGCTCAGTTTGTTTTCACACTGGCTTTTTTACAAACACACGAAGAGCGAAGCCATTTATTGAACACTTCTTGTGATTGTCCTACAGCATCAACATCCACTCATTATCAGGACCCAGGTGGGGAAACCACATTCTGGTAATGGCTGCAGGTTTTGCAGCCCTTAGATGCTGATCATTAAAGCACTTTAAGTATCATTTAACTGTAAATCTGCGGAATGTTATAGTGAGATTGCCATGTGATTCAGTTTTCCTATTTGTGAACTTCAACCTCCATGGTGCAGAACACAAACAAAACAGTCTGCAATTGTTCCCAGCATATTAAATCGTGGTTTACAAAGCCAACATATACTGTATACAAAATGCACATAGATACTTGCTTTAAATGATCCCTCATAACATTGGGCAGCTGTGCTCAGTGGGAGAGTGGAACAGTTGGCTGCTTTCAATTGGTCGTTTGATTCAAGCTCCTGCAGTCCAAATGTCGAAGGGTCTTTGGACAAGACACTGAATCCCAAATTGGGCCAAGTGGTAGCCAGAGGCAGGTGAGTGTTTATGAATGGGGTTGATTAATATTGATGGGCATTGGGCACTCTACAGTACATAGCATACTGAACCATCAGTGTATAAATGTGGCCGGAATGGGTGAATGTGACATGTAGTAGAAGAACTTGGTCAGAGTGAAGAAAATCTTAATACAAGTAAAGTGAATAGTTCACGGTCATTTTCTTATAAACATCTTTGCTTTTAATTTAAGACAAACAACATGTGTGGTGCTTGTTATACTGAAAAGGAAAAAAACTGACAAGATGGCATAAAAATAAAAAAGTAAAACACCCTCCTGCCTTTACTTAAGAAATCCCATCTCTGTTAGTTACTGCTCTGACCAGAACAAAGACAAAACTGACACAAGTGGATAGTGTTTAGTCAACTGAGGACCAAGGTCAAACTATATAGCAGTTTAGCTTCATCGAAAGAACTGATAAAAGAGACACCAATGCCTGAGAAAAAAGGAATAAATATGATGTTAGCATCTTTGGGTAATATATACGGTACATTTCCCAAAGTGGCTGACCTACTCTCTATAATCATTTGCTTCTTCAATCAAAGGACTTTTAACACATGACAGACAGTACAAAGATAAAATACATGTATATGATATGTACAATTAGAATGGTCAAGATTTTAAAATTCACTTCAGGGAAATGCTCTTGAATTTGACACTTACATATCTTTATCAGTCTCCATAGTCCACATTTTTTAAACCAATGGGTCAAACGTTTAAGCTTGAGAAAAAATCCCTTGGAAGATGAAATAAAACTCTTTTATTCCAGAGGGGGGAATGTCTCCTTGGCGAGACCACTCTTCAGGATTATGTGGGGGTGTGACCTCACTATTTTTACTCAACTTCAGAGGAGGACAGGAGCGCTTTTGGGAGCTTGTTTGTAGTCTGTGCCAGGTAGGTGCAATTGTTTACAGGCTCTGATCTGCCATTCAGATGGGAAATAATAGCCTACCTACAGCAGAGCCGCACTGATTTACATGCACAAAGGGCTGAATATGATAAAGAGACCCACAAATTCACTGTGATCCATCGGTCCCTGTGCACAACAAAGCCTGTTATTTCTCAAAACCATAAAGAGGAACATGACAGTGTCAACAGAAAAAAAATAGAATAAGTAGACATGAGCTACCTTGAAATATACAGAGGCAATTTCTCCCAGCCCACTGTGACAGAGCCTGTTCCTCTTTAGACCCTGCTACCACATAGCTGTACATTCAAATTCAAAACCTCTGGGGCCTTCCTATTTCAGCTGCAACAGTCTTTTATCTTTGTGCACTGTGAGTTTAAATTGCTAGTTTTCCAAATACAGACACTCCTGAATATAAATGGAAAACATGGGAGGCAAAAAAAAGCCATTGGTCTAGCCATTGTTTGATATACTTATTTGTGTTTTTCCCTTTTGCACAGATTTACTGGATGTTTCCATGCTGACTTGGATGTTCACAAAAAGGAAAACAAACTAGTTTCTGCTGAGATGAAAGTGTTGTTGATTCAACATTAAAATATGATGTACATGGCTTAGTTCAAATGAGATGATTAGACAGAATGGGGAAGGTAATACTGACTTGTTACTGAACGCAAAGTGTTTTATTTGGGAGGAAATTTGCAACCTTGAGTATGTGTATAAAATCGTAATCAAAATATCTGGCATCTAAAGGATTCTCAATAAAGGCAATGCAATTAATGTCAGGTAGTGAGCATTTATTCTGCAGGGCTGGAATTCAGACGGATATTTCAGCAGCAGAGAGCACAGGCTCAGCTAATAAAGCAAAAATATCCCCTCATCCCAAGATGCATGTCATCTTGTATTCACGGACTAAAAAGTTTACTTTCATTTTATTTATTTATTTCCCTCCAACCTTATCTCCCAAATCAAAGCCTCCTCTTTCAATGAACTTCTCCTGAACCTATCCCAATCTGTGAAAACAAGATTGAAGGGGGTGGGTGGTTGGGGGGGGGGGTCCATATTTTTTTCTATCATGTTTCCCCAAGTTCCCTCCCCCTTTGATCGCTCACATTGTGGTCAAAGACGTAGTCCCCATTCTCAGAGCGATCCAAACGTGGACATTGTTTATGACGGATTTCCAATTCAAAGGTAGAATTCCTTTTTCATCTGCTTCAATGCTTTGATGCACCTCCAAATTGAATCTGTTCCAATCGCAGGGGGGTAAAAGAAAAGAAATAAATAAGTAAAGGCTTAGTTTCCCAAAGGAGTGAATAGCTCCCCTGCTGGATTTGCAATGATTCACATTTCCAGTGCTCAAGAAAACAGCCATGACTGATGATGAATACTTGAAGCTGAAGTCAGCTTAAAGACTGTTAAGTTATTGTTAAGTTAATAGTTGATCTAATGTAATTGAAGATTCTGTTGAACGGATCCTGTGATGTTAAAATGTATCCGGTTAGACCTTGATTCTTCTTCAAGGCTGGTTCATTTAAAGCTGTTCGATCAAGTGAAACATGCTATTATTGGTGAGGTCATTATATTAAACCCGCCCATCAATAGTTTTCCTGCGATGGTGTGTTTTATGCTCTTTCTACAGTATTGACTGCCAGAGAAACCTTAGCTGACCTGTGCTGTTCAGGTCCTGCTTTACATTCAGAGCAGGGCCAAAGAGTGATGGCACTTCGACTAGGCCCAACTAAATTGTCTGCTTTCGTTGCCATAGTGAATAAACTGCCTCGACTGTGCAGTAATGCAAGTGGCAGAAAGACAGAGGGCATAATTATCTGCAGCTTTCAGTGGTTGTGTTTTCTATTGATCTGATACAAAAAAAGCATCACTGTTCTTTAATATATATACATATATATATCAAATTATTTTGGAGGGTGTTATGGAATATCATGTATTAAAGGTTTCAGCCCAAAGTCAAACTCAAAATTTTGCAAACAATATAATATGCCCCACAAACCTTAAGCTAATAACCAAAATGGTGACTGGATACACTCCCATTAAGGTTTGTGGAAGGTAATGGCTTCCAAGAGCTGATCAATGGAGTTTGTCGAACCGGAGTTCATGCCACCATCACGGCTAACAACAGCTACGAGAGCGGATCTGTACTGATGAGCAACACACTTCAGAAAACACAAAACAGCATTGAAAGGTCTGTGTCCGACTTGTTTTAAAAACATTTTAAACAAGGTAAAACATTTTGAAGTACTGGGGCGCGCTGGTGGCGCAATGGTTAGGGCGCGCATCCCATGTATTGAGGCTGTCGTCTTGAGCGGGAGGCCCGGGTTCACATCCTGCCCGTGGCCTCCCTCCGCATGTCCTTCCCCACTCTCTCTCCCTGGTCTCTGACTCTATCCACTGTCCTATCTCTGAATTAAAAGGCACAAAAGCCAAAAAATAAATCTTGAAAAAAACAACATTTTGAAGTACTAAAGTAGGAGTTAATAAGGTAAGTGCTCGAGTATTTAGATTACTGAAGGCCATCCAACATTGCGTCAAACCTACATCACATCAAAGATTTTAATGTTGCTATTCTTACTAATTGCATGTACAGTCACTTACTGTAAGTCTTTGTGTATACAGAGAACATCTGAATGGGAATATTTTTAAGAAAGAGAAAGGAATAAAAATGGAGCCACAGCAGCATCCCTCTTACACATGCACTGTCTAAATATAATATCACACTGTATCTTATGTGAGTGATCTTTTTTGTGTTGTTGTAGGAGGTGCATTACATATCAGGAATGTACTTATGCGTACTGTAATGTTTTGTTCGAACGGGACAAAAAGCAAGTCAGCGTTAACAGATGTTTACT